TGGTGGGTGTGGGAGAAGCGTCAGGTGCGTTCTTCTCTGGTGCACGTGTTTACTAGTTGGACAGGTCGGACTATACTTAAGTCTGTTCGGAAAGAAATTTTCAAGCTATTACGGACGTGACAAAGGAAAGATTCTGATTAAAGTTGATTCGTTTATACACCATGCATTATGCTTTATGCAAAAGTCTGTGTCGCGGCCTTAAACAAGGACAATGGATGCATCATGCGCATCATGCACAATACGGAACGCACCTATACAAAGGAAAGATTCTGATTAAAGTTGATTCGTTTATACACCATGCATTATGCTTTATGCAAAAGTCTGTGTCGCGGCCTTAAACAAGGACAATGGATGCATCATGCGCATCATGCACGATACGGAACGCACCTATAAGCGGGGAGCACAGATTCTTGCATAACGCATAACACGTAATGCATAAAAAAATGTACCAATCGAAGTCCTTCATTTTCTTCCTTTCTATGAAATAAAGGACTCTGATTGGTTCAATTTCTTATGCCTCATGTGTTATGCGTTATGCAAGAATCTGTGCTCGCCGCTATAGTTTCATAACATCGATGTTATAACTTCGACGTAATGCGGGGTCTACATAGGTCTACATAGAAGTCGTAGCAGTCGTAGGGTCTTAAGTCGTAGAAAATTGACCAATCATATAGCGTATTCGATTACTGACTCGACCCGACTCCGAGTCAACAGTCTGTTCTTTTTAGCTGCATTTCTTACACGTAATTTAGCTCTTCTTTTGCAGCTAAACAGAACAGACTATTGACTCGGAGTCGGGTCGAGTCAGTAAATCGAATACGCTAATAGTCGATTATTCTTCTCATATTCTACTGTGATTGGTTAATTTTCTACGACTTAAATAGCGTTTTCGGCCCGATCGGATTTGCACCAACCTGGGTTGGATTAATGGCGTTTTGCGCTCTCCTATTGGTAGAGCGTGTGATATCAACCAATAGGAAAGATTAATCCAACCCAGGTTGGTGCAAACCCGGTCGGGCCGAAAACGCTATAAGATTCTACGACTGCTACGACTTCTATTGTAGACCCCGCTTAAGGTTCCGCGCACAAAGATGGTCACAACTGAGTCGTAGTCGTAAGTCGTTGTCGTAGATCAACGCACAAGGATTTTACGTATGTCGTTTACGTATATCCTATTGCGTCAGTTGACGCAAACAACTGGCGCAATAGGATATACGTAAACGACATACGTAAAATCCTTGTGCGTTGACCTACGACAACGACTTACGACTACGACTCAGTTGCTACCATCTTTGTGCGCGGACCCTAAAGCGTGCCGTGTGGTGCCGTGTAAACGTAGTATATGTTTACACGATCGTCGAAATTAATAATTCAATACAAAGTTACTAGTTTAGTACTCGTATCAAGTGCACGATGTAAACTAAGCCATTATTTTTATACTGCATTTAACGAATTGTTATTATTTTTAATTAATCTCAAGCATTTAATCTTTCATATTAATGTCTGTCAAAATAACCCAGCAAAGCAAGGCAGAGCAAAGCAGAGCTCCGAATCGGGATGCTGTTCATGCTGTTGTCGCTGATTGTCGGTTGTCGCCGCGCATGTGTGAGAAAAGCGTCTCGTCCAGCGTCCAGCAGCAGCGGGTCGTACCATTTGTCACTGTAATGTAAACACGTGTTGTTATTCCGAGTAAAATGCACAATGCGATTTCTCCGCGTGGAATATTAACGAGATAATCATAAGTACAACATATTCGACTTGAATTGATTAATGACATGATATAATAAAAAGAAGCATCTACAAATTCTAATAATTTGGTTTATTCGCGTATGTTGAAATTCACTACATTCGTATGGTCGTTTCTACATTCGCGACTCGGACATTAAAATTTACTCCGATGCTTTTAAAATTAAACTCTGAACGTGAACTGTAATAGAAATAAAGGAATCAACAAAATTGTTCGACTAAAACCATTTGGTATCCTCCTGCGGAGGTATTTGAATAAAATGAGACGAACATAATTATGTGATGCAAGACTTGCCTTTGTCATAGAAGGGTATTTTAATACTATCACAAATTCTTCAACGAACTGTATACGAATGATACATGACGACTATTAATCGTGTGTGTATTGATGGTTTTTCATCTACACACATCTAAAGATATTTATTTAAAATAGATATTTAAAAAAGTTATATATAATACAAAAATAAGAAAAATCTTTGTAAAAATGAAAGCATCCTGGTATCCTCGCATAATTGCTCATCATCCATATATTATTTTACTGGTCATTTTTATATTCTCTTTAGTATGTCTAATTATTCCGCTTACAACTGAAAAGTTTCCAGATTTTACGGATCCTCAAATGGTATGTAGGAGCACTTTCTTGTAAGAGTAAAAGAAAAATTCTGTACAATTGATATATTTCAAATATATATTTATACTGTAGGGTTTTGAAGCAAGAGGTACAGTTTTAGCGCAAAGACTGACAGCTTGGAATCACTTAATAGAAGCTACAAAAGGAAGAGGAGAACTTACTGATAATCCTTTAGAATATTATCAATACTTACGTCAACAGGTATGGATAATAAAATTTTTTTTTAACTGTTCTATAGTCTTACTTTTTTTTATCACTTTAAATAATACTTTTATCCATAATCAGGTAGCTGAATTTAGAAATATTAGTACATGTAAAATAATTAGTAAAACGTATTATTAGATTTTTAACTTGATTTTTCAGTCTAATATGCAAAATCGTAGTTTATCTACTCAGGGTATTCTTATAAAAAAACCAAAAAGTAAAAATAAACAAATGGGAAAGAAACATGAAACAATGTTAAATAATACAGACTATAAAGAAGCCAGCGAAGAAGACAAAGATACATGGGAAGAATTACTAGAATTGAGAGATACACATAATGCAGATATAGAGGATGACAAGACTCAAGATCATCTTGATAGTGATAATTTTTTCTGTAATTTACCAACTTCTTCGTATGCTCGTGTCGTGATCGCTGTAGATTCAGAGGAAAAAAATTTAAATTTGTGGTCTATGGAGGGTGTATTAGCTCAGTGTCACATTGATGGTGTACTTCGTGGAAACGTTCACTTTCCATCTTTGTGCCAAACACAAATCAATCGCAATGATGCGGCAGATCATAAATGTTGTAGAAGTTGGTCACCAGCTAACTATGTGGCACTTTTATCCAATCGCAGTTCTTGTTTGGGAGTAACAGAAAATGATCTGAGCAGAGTAAAAACACTTTTGCAACAATGCGCTTATTATTATCATAATCGTCAGTTGACGCCTAACTGTGCAGAAGACTTCAATTGCCAAAAACATGTGCCAAACGAATGCTACGTGAGAAATGCGGCTTATCATTTACTACACTATCTTTTAGACGTTAATTTTATTCCGAGTGTAAGAGTCCATTGATCATAACTTACTTTAATATTGTTTTAACAGATAAATATTTAATTTGATATTGAATATTAATTGGATTGTTACAGAAAACGGATCCCAACAGCAAACAAAATTCAACATTGCATTCTGCGATGCTATTTCTTCCAATTGCGGCAAGCTCTGCGACTTTAGATTTTTATAAAGCAATAGATAATAATGATTTAATGTACGGAAACTTTCGTGTTCAAGGCATTCAACTTGGTCTAAAAAGTACACTATTTGATCGCGATATATTGTCTGATTCGAGTCTGGTACTCGCCGGTTTTATCTTTGTTATATTTTGTATCTGGGCATATACTGGCTCTATAATATTGACTATAGCAACATTTTTCGCAGTAGTATTTAGCCTTGGCATTTCATATGCAATTTATACTGTTATTTTATATATTAAATTTTTTCCATTTATGAATTTATTGGCCATTGTTGTAGCCGTAGGTAAGTATTTTATTATATCAAAATAATCATAAGTAAAATCTACATAAAAATGCTATAAATACAATGTTATAACAAATTTTTTTCTACAGGTATTGGAGCAGATGACGCATTTATTTACTGTAAGGTATGGGAATCTAAGAAAGAACAAAAACTTTCAAATGACGGATTAGTACAGTTGGTACAAGAAACAATGAAACATGCTTTTCCAGCTATGTTTGTTACATCTCTTACTACAGCAGTAGCTTTTTTTGCATCAATTGTTAGTAATGTGACTGCCATCAATTGCTTCAGGTACTAATTTTATTGTAGAGCTAATTTATATATAGAACATTTTTCTGTTCCATACTTAAATGATCTTGACTACTATATATACATGTATAATAAATTTTGTATAGTTTATTTGCAGGCATGACAGTCATTGCAAATTTTTTCTTGATGATTACGTGGTTACCTGCATGTGTGATTGTATCAGAGCATTGTAAATTATCCACTCTATCGCCTGTCAACTTTATTACCAGAAGGATTATTCGCCCTTTACGATCTTTGGGAGACAAAGTGACAGTAGGATTTACCACCTTTCTTACTGGATTAGTGCTTCGATTACGTTGGTTTTGGTTATTAAGTTTGGCATTCATGGCATCAGCGTGTTGCAGTGTTGTCTTCCATTATCCGGGTTTGCAACTGCCAGATTATATGGATTTTCAATTATTCCATGATACACATCCGTTTGAACAATATGATCTAGTATATTCACGGAGATTTTGGTTTGAACGATATGAAATGGTGCTTATTTTACTTATTTTTGAATATATTTGCATCATAAATATATATAATAATGTACTTGATTCGTACAGGTTGGCGGAGATGCTGAAGTTTTACCATTAAGGTTTGTTTGGGGCATAAATCCAGTTGATAATGGTGATTACCTTGATCCTCGTAAACGAGGAATACCTGATTGGGATGATACTTTTGATGTTTCTCATCCAAAATCTCAAATATGGCTTGAACAATTTTGCCGAAATTTACGGAGTCAACCTTTTTACCGTAGTACTACGGGACCTTTATTATCCAATTGCTTTATTGAACCATTACGTGTATGGATGAAGAGACATTGTAAGGATCCTGTCGATCCTCAGATTGAGTATGTACCATGTTGCAAGAGCAATAAATTTCCCTACAAACCAAGCGTTCTGCAACAATGTGCAGCTGAAGCTAGCGATAGAATATATCACACTCCTCATTTGTGGTTTCGGACTGGTCCAATTTCTGCAGGTCCAAAATTTGTTAAAGAACCATTATTGTCCGCGCAGGCATCAAACGATACGTTTCCGATTAAAGTAACACCAAAGATTAAAGCGCTTATTGTCGAATATGATAGCACATATGCATATAGTCTCTCGTTTGGAAATATGGATAAATTTTTTAATGAAGCAAGTATTACTTGTTTGGTATTAGAAATTATAACGACATGAATTGATAATATTTGTAAAAGTATAAATCCTTGAAGTAAAGTTTAATTGAACTTCTTGAATTTAAACACAGGTTGAAAATTGGATGCAGAATCAATTACGAACTGCACCTCGAGGGATGCGACGCGGATGGTTTATCAGCCATCTAGAATTTTACGAGCTCCAGCGTACACTATATCATGGAACCTTATATGCGATGGGAGTATCGCTAACTTTGGCTCTAATAGTATTAGCACTGGTGACCTTAAATCCTCTTATTAGCCTGTATGCAATTCTAGCTATTGGTGCTGTAATAATTGTAACCGTGGCAATACTTATTCTTCTTGGGTGGAAACTTAATATTTTAGAAAGCGTTGCAATCACTACAGCAATAGGTAAATAAAAGTCAAAAGATGAGTTTAAACTATTTGTGAAATTAATATTTCTGGACATTTTATTTTATTAGGACTTGCTGTGGACTTTAGCTTGCATTACGCTGTGAGTTATAAATCATGCGTCTCTGAGAAGAAAATAGACAGAGTAAAAGAGGCACTACAACAAATGGGTGGTCCTACTCTTATGGCAGCAATTACAAGCGGTGCTGCGGGCGCTTTAATGTTACCTTCTCATGTACTAGCATATATACAAATCGGTCTTTTTTTAGTGCTTGTAATGGGAGTAAGTTGGATATATGCAACGTTATTTTTGTGTCCAATGTTAGCAGTTATAGGACCGTCTTCACAATTTGCTCAGTTTGAATATCCCAGGTAATCAATTTTTATTATATAATATGCAAGTTTATAATACATTAAAAATACATTTTAAAATAAAGCAATTGGATATTACAAGATATAAATTAATCAACGCGATTATAACTTGAATTTTTTACAGACTGAAAATATTATCAATTTGTTTTCGTAAATATGATGATGGCGGTGTAGTTAAAACCGACAAGGATAACAATCGAGCGAGGAAAGCTTATAAAGGACGGGGAATGCTTTCGGAATCAACTCTAAGCACTTCTAGCTCCGTATGTCAATTTCATTGCAGTGAATTGGAAACTCTTGCTGCAAGGCCTCCATCTCCGTCATTGCCACCATCTCCATTATCAACATTACTTCGTTAAAATAATCACTATTTAATTAGAAATTATATGCCATTTTCTAGGAATCTCAATTTGCTATTTTTTTTATCAATTTTGTATTTTTTAAATTGTATGTAAAATAATCATTTTTGTATGTTATTCTATGCATTGGTGTGATATCATATATTTAATGTGACTGTTGGCTGTGTTCAAATAGCTTTAAGGTCATTACTCAAACATGTGGTCCTATTGTTTGTTACATATATCTACAGTACATACATACAATACGCATATATACAGTCAAACACATACACACACACAGACACATATACACAGAGGGCTTCCTAATTAGTACAGATATATGTACGTATAGGTGCAATCAAGAGCATCTATATCAATTTGGTACGCTCATACTCGGCAGTTAATCTAATATTTAAGAAGAATATCTTTTATATAGTTTATTTATATATAGTTAATAGCATAGCACATCTACTTTATTCTGTGAACAAACAGAAAAAGCTAAATAAGAAAAAGGTAAATCGTATATCCTAAAGACTGTGAAGCGCACTGAACAGTATTAATGCTCTTAAATGTGCATACGTACAATATTTATGGCTATGGAGAATTAAATGTTAACTTAAACTAATAATAGGTATAATATTAACATCTTTTGTATATTCCATAAGTTTCAGTTATCAATTTGTGAAAACGTGTTATATGGCATGAGTGTAACTAATATGACAAATAATGTTGTTTACATGGATTTGAAATTTTGATGGCGATCGACACGTTTTTTTCATTAAAATGTATTCATGAATAGTATCAGTATTATATGAAAATTAACAATGCAAATATAATTACAAATGTATTATTTTTCATTAGATATTCATCGATTATTTGTCATAATTTATATGAAAATAGCAACAATAAAATAATTTTATATGAAATATACATTTTATTCCAATAAAATATTATTTTGTATTACAAAAATTTGTACAGCTTTTTTATACATTCTGCAATAAAAAATTCTTTATTTTACATATTTAAATAAGATATAATTCAAAATAAAATATTCCTTATAAATATTACAATTTTTAAAATGTATATTTAAATTTCTTTATCTCATATGATTAGAAAAAAGCTACACATACTAAAAAAATTAATTTTAATAATGTGTTTTATATTTCTTGATCTTTTCGCGATATAATTCAATATAATTATAGATTTTTTTTCCTTTGGCTTTACGTACTTTTCCGCAATTTCTAGGGAATTTCAAAAAACTTATTTTGATTGCTTTTTGTGAAAAGGGCAGCCAACCTAAATCTAAAGGATTTTTTTAATTTCTAGGGAATTTCTGACACGGTTAAATTTCCCGCTTTCGAGCCATTTGTCAAAAGATTTCTATGGAAACAAATATACAAAGCACATGGTATTTTGTCATATAAATGTAATTTTTAATGCATGTGTTCCCAATTATGGAATGTCAGTTTATCAGATTATAAAATTGCCAGTTATATAATTGATAAAATATGTAAAAAGTTAAAGTCTTTTTCGATTCGAAATGTGCAATATGTATATAGTTATGTTACAGATGTCATAAATAAGAAAACTCTGATATGTTTAGTAATTAAACTGTAAATAAGTTTGCTATTTATATAGAAACAGAATTGACAAAAGTTTGTAATTATGCACGGTTTAAGGTAAAAAACTTTTTTATTGATTGTGTGTGTGTGTTTGTGTGTGTATAAAAATACCAACATCACTTTTTTAGTGCTTATTATATACTTATTTTTATCGGATTTTCTTCTCAGAGCTGATCATAAATCTCTTGGAGGACTTGGGATGAGTCGCTGGTTGGAAGCACTTTGGGAACCAAGTGCTGGTTTATTTTCTTTGCCAGGTGGACTTGATATGTTAGATATAAGCGGTGATGGAGATGCTAGACTTATTTGTGCTGATCTAGGACCAGTTGGAAGCGATTCAACAAAGGTATAGTTACAACAAGAAAATAATACAATATAGAGACATGTACAAATATATTTTTAAATTATGTAGTTTAATAGTACTATAATAGAATAATTATAAAAATTAGGGTTTTATATAGAAAAAACAAATAAAGAAAAGTTCATTTTAGTTAGAATTAGCAAATAATATGGAAACATTTATTCCTTTTCATGAATAATTTATACAATTTTTTATTTTATTTATTTATGAAATATATTACTCTTATGTTTAGATACGAGTGTATAAAGGAGGTGATCAGATAACTGAGCATAACATGATAGAACCACCCTGCGGAATAGTCGGTTTTTATACGGAAAATGGAGAACCTCGATCATCCGTAGTTGCTGTAGGAGCTGGAGCTAGTGTATATATTTTCAAAAATATGAGACCATTCTTCAAATATTGTCTGCCACATATTGATGCTCATCCAAAAGAACGAGAAGTACTTATACTTTATTGGTACAGAAATAAATAATAATACAGGATTATTTCATGTATGATATTTCTAGTCTGAGTATATAGTACATATTGTGACATTCAATAATTTAACGCAGATTTGGCATAAATGTGGGTTGGATGAAGAATTAAATGTGTTGACTCTTGCGGATGATTTGGAATTATTACTGAAAGAACTTGGCGCAGCATTTCTCTCTCCTCGTACTTTAAAATTTCTCTCTTTAGATAATAACTTGCGCTTGAGTTTTGCAGAACAATACAGACGGATACCACTTGTTAAAGCTAATGCCTTAACGGCAATTGCGATTATTCGTAGAGACTCGTGGAATGATCCTGCTAGTAGTTGTCTGATATTAGGGACCGAGGCTGGTGAAGTTCTCGTCTTGGATTCTAGGTATTCTTTTTGTATAATTAAGAAAAAATTTATTAAAATATTTTATATATATTCTGTATATATATTATTTAATTGCCATACAGAGCTTTTTCAGTTATGGATAAGCATATATTGGAGTGGCCACCAGCAGCATTTGCCAGCTGCGGCTTATGGACGGGTGATGGTAGCATAATAATTATTGGAAGAGATGGAAAAATAGGAACAATTAGGAGAGGAAGTTCTGTAAAACTTTGGGAAACGTTACCCGCACCTGCGGTAGCTATTGCCGTTCTTACTTCTCAAGGAGCAGCAGTAGCTGTTATGGATGGTACTTTAGTGGGATTTTCAAAAACAGTACGCTTGGACAAAGAATTTTAATTTAATGTTGAAAACTTTATGTTAAATTTCTTTCTGATATATAAATTTCTTATAGGGAATAAAATTATGGCATATCAATATTCCCGGTATAATGTTAGATCTAGTTAGCTTACCAGTACCGCAAAATGGGCTGTCTTTGTTAGCTGTAAGTACAGTAGGCTATGGAATTCGCATTTACGATGGAAAACATCATGTTGATACTGTGAAAATTATGGAACCTGTATCCGCTCTTAAGGTATTCCTAAATCAACATTTATATATATTTAAAAAGTGGCAAAATATAAATATATATCTTTTTTTTTTTACGAATGCAGTACGGACGAATGGGACAAGAGGAACGGACAATAGCTATGGTCACTGTTGGGGGTGGTTTATGCATGAAAATCCTAAAGCGCACTGCTGATTTTAATACGAATAATTCAATATCGAATTCATCGTCGAGTAACACATCGAAGTTCTCGATACCGAAGAAAACGCGATTATTTGTCGATCAAACGATAAGAGAGAGAGCCGAGGCAAAGAAGATTCATAACACATTTCAGCAAGGCTTTCTTCGCTTACGTTTGACAACGGCCAAACAAGCATCCGAACATTTAAGTGAAAACCAAGCACTAGGATCTAATCCTATCACGTTAGAAACAAATGTTCTTGGTCTAGGTCCCAATTACATGATTCGTATTATAGTAACAAATATTTCTGAAGATTTATCTTCAACAGAATTGTATATTCTCTGCAGAGCTGAGGACACCGATGTGAATCCTCGTATGATAGATTTGCCCTTGCTACCAAGTGCTGTGCCTATACCACTAGCTATTAATGCAAACTTGAAAAGTCAAATATCAGGGAAAGTTAAAATATTACTTTGCAAGAAATCAAATCCGAAACCTTTGGTTATTACGACTGTAATATTGCCAGCCGCCGAGGAAGATTTTGAAATCTAAAGAATTATTTAAATTGTAATTGAAAGCCAAGTACAAATATGAAATAAATCGTATTGTAATTAAACATGAATTTTATCTTATAGATGTAAAATAAATCGAATATTATTGTTGTATTGTACAATTTATAAAGTATAATAAATATACGATAAATAATTTATAATAGTATAAACATTTTTACATTTTACACTATTTCTCCAAGGATTGTATCAATAATTTATAATAAAATTCGCAGGATGTTTTCATTTACTTTTTGTTTATTATGTATCTGCAGGTATAATCTTATGAATTAATATATTTTTCGATTTTCTTGATTGTACATGTTACATTGATTAAGGCAACAAGAAGCTATTCATATGCACATCAGGTGTTGTGTATTAATATATTGTTTTATAAGCATCCTGACTAACAACTTTTCTTATATATATATTGTCGACATGTTTTAAAATAAACGTTCAAGTCTACACATATAAGATAAAATTGTGTAACTAAAATTTAAAATACGTACATTATGTATTTTTACAATTTCAAGCCTGATTAATTTGTATAAATGAGTTTCGTTGTTATCAAATTTACTAAATTTACAAAATTTTAAATAATTAATAATGAAACAGACTGATGATAACAAAGATTTAATTTTTATATGTTGCAACTTTCCCATAGCCATTTTCGCTTCTAAAAATAAATCATATATGTTGAGAAAAATTATGGGTATAAAGAATCTTTAAAGTAGCGTAATGAAATTCGATGGAATAAAATAAGTACAGTATAAAATCGTGCTTTAATAAGCATTTATAACTTTCATAATGATTAAAAATTTTGTATTTTCCAATAACATGTTATTAGAAAATACATAAATAATTATTATTTACGATTTAAAAATACAAGTTGCTTTGTCTAAGAATATTAAAATTATACACAGACCTATTATTTTTAAATAATATTTTATGTACTTTAGAAAGAATATGGCTGTTTTTCTTCATGTATTAATGTTATTCATATCTATGACAAGCACATCGGCCGTTTCTAAAATGGGCAGTTTCTTATACAATATTATAGTTACTTATACAATTATAGTTACTGCGTATAACATTAATTATAAATCAATATAACAACGTATCAGTGTTAAAAGCTAGCAAACTATTTTGGAAAACACTAAATAGAACGTCATTCTCTCCTATACTCGCTCCAATCACATTCGTTACTCGCGCATCACATTGTACATATTCGAGAAACATAGGAGTAAATAAAAAAGAAAGATTTGCTTCCATTGGGAGCAAACATACGAGAACGTGGACGTAATGTTAATGAATAATTCTTGTATGAACGATAATCTCAGTATGAATGCTTCCAACTTTATATTCTTTGTCGACTCGGTTATACACGTATTATCGCAATAGTATATACGATTCTATAATATTTACTTCTCTTTTATTACATTATTTTAGGTACATGTTCTTTCCACATGTGCACAGTGGACGACAGATCAGATTCTATACATGATTTTTCGGAAGTAGTAGACCCGTGTACATGGCACCAAGCGACTTCTTTGAACACGTTTCTAATAATCTTAAGCATACAAAAATAAATTATAATAATATGATTGTGTGTCTCTGTGAGCTTACGCATGTATAGTGAATACTATATTATGTGTACACATACACACGTATACATGGACGTATGCGCGTACGCATATGTATTCATATATACGTGTGTATGAGATATATATATGATATATAAATTATGTATATATTTTAAAGTATAATATCTCTCTTAATAATTATTCGTGATTTTACGGTACAATTAAAATGCTCATTTTTTTCCTTTACAATGCGTCTTAATGGAACACCTAGGTAAGTTGTAAATCAATATTAATCACGAAATTTCGACTATGTAAAATGTATATTAATGTGTTTCGATAATGCCCGCCACATGTTTGAAAATATTTTATTAAATATATATGTACATAAAATAAAATATATCCTGATAGAGAAAGGGAATTTGCACTAAAAATATATATGTTCGCTATTAGCGCTATGTCTCCCCTAAGTGTTCCTACACTAATAAATCCACCATAGCGTTTGCTAGTGTTGCTTTGGCTGCAGCAAATTACCTGTGTCATAAATAAATCATTTAAGTCACTTAATGAATTTATCGTAAGCTTTTATCGTTTGTTCATAAATTTACGTCATACTCACCTACATACTTTAGTAGAGATTTAAGTAAAGAGTTACAGACTTGTGAAGGCACAAGATAAAACGACTAGGATCAACGCTAAAAACGTTCCGGGGGATCGTACAGTTGCCGAATTTCCTGTAAATAAATAGGAAATTAAGAACTGATGATAAAAACGATCATTTAAAATAATTAATGTTCTATTTGAAAAAATGGTATTCGTACCTTTTAATGCTAAATCAGGAGGATAATCTAAAAAAAAAAAATAAGAAAACGAGAAATATTAAAACGAAGTTTTAATATTTATAATCTGTTACATTATTTATATGTATTAATAGGGGAGACCGGGGCTGTTTGTCGTACGGGGTTGATTGTCAAAATGCTTCCCAGTGAGAAATGACAATGAAATCGATGTCAAATTGACCTCGATTCGACGTCAATTCGATGATTTCGACATCGAATCGACATCGATTCCATTGTTATTTCTTACTGGGTTATAACTCAAACAAGACATGGCAGGAAAATCTCTTCTTTTGACTGTAGATAGCTGATATAATATTAATTTGTTGTGTAAAATGGTTTGCACCACAAGCATTGTATATATTATTTATAGCGATTTTTGAGAAAATGTAGTTGGTGAGTAAATTTTTATAATCACCTATTTTATTGTCTGACAAGTCTTTGGCATTATTAATCGTAATATTCCTGTATTCGTAGAAAATGACATATCTTAGAAGATCTTTGGTACGATTAAGTAATCATTATTCTGACTAAGTTTGTAAATATATTCTCTTTTACTAAAAATTGCTATGTGGGGTAGATTGACCAAAATGAGACGAGATTAGATGACAATTAATTTTAATATCTTTAGAGGACACATTTTCAGAGAATATACTTACAAATATATTATATTTCATATAGATATATATTTTTTCATTTTTCATATATAAACTATGATACAAAAACAAATTACGTATTTTATGATTAAAATAACTATTTTATTTGTATTAATACTATAATTACTATTATTTCTCAAAATATAAAACTGATATTAAAATAAAAATTGTGTTTTTTATATTTGTTGTCCACATAACAAATATGCTACTGCCAATCCTAGAACGTGTGACAATCAACCCAGAACACGGGGTTGGTTGTCATATTTTCGCAGTATTATTTAAAATTAAATAACTTATTTTTATGATATGATGAATTCACGAGTAATATTTTTTTAATACCTAAAGGATGTAGGTATATTGTAACGTATATAATATTTCAAAATCAGGCATCCACTTTTTTCTAAAAATCAATAATCAAAAACTGTGACAATTGGCCCCGGTCTCACCTACTTTAAATTGTTTAATTATATATCTAATTAATTTATTAATCAAATCACTATACGCTTGATTAATAAGTCTTCTTATAGATAGTTCTTCAATCTTTTATTCGAATTAACGTCTATTTATAATAAAATAATGCACAAATCACGAAAATTATTTTTATACACTCAAAAAATATAGATATAAAACATACATACAAAAATTTATATAAGATTAATATACGCACCACCACTAAATGTATGCGGTTCTGAATCCAAAGACCATCCAAATTCATTTCTAGCCTTTAGGATCGCCTCGTAAGATCCAGGCAGAAGTTCTGGAATTGGACATTCTACGATATATTGATTTCCTTTACCGTCTTTGACTTCAGGCTCAATGAAGTTCCATTCCGGGTCACCCTTGCGACGATATTGTACCTGTAAGTAAAAAAATTGTATTTTAGATCATATTTTTTACTTCATAAGTTCTAATAAGAAGCATATATTCTTGATATATATTGTATTTACCTTATATTCGCTGATCGGCGAATAACTTTCCAAATGCCACTTCAGAATAATTCCTGCATCATCATCAGTCATTTTGGCACCAGATATCTTCGCTTGCGAAGGTACACCTAAAATATATTTTGCAAATGAAAATCTGTTTACCTATCTAAATTCTGTATCAGCTCACAAAAGTTAAATAAAATATATCACTTGAATATTTTCCTGATATATTAATCTTACAGAGAAATGTCAATCTTATATGCAATGTATATGTATTTAAATATACACAATCTAAATTTCTTGCAGTGAAATCTCGCTCCAAAAAAGTGAAAATACAACACTTCTTGAAAAAGAGTGACTTTTTTTTCAAAGGTGATTGTATTTTCACTCTCTTGGAGTGAGATTTCACTGCAAGAAATTTATAATGCATATTTATATAACTTTATGTAATAGTATATCATACCTGTTAAGATAATAGATCTAATGACATGACCAATGGCATTATCTGCACGACACTTGTACTCGCCAAAATCCTGTGTCGAAGGATGCAAGATTTTTAAAATGTGCTTAGTCTTGTTACTATTCGGTATTATCCTATGAAACATCATTATCGATCCTTTCTTCTGCGTAAGTAATTTGTCGTCTTTATACCACATTACAAGTGCCACGGGATGGGCGCTCACGATGCACGTAATTTCCGAATCTACACCTGTACCGCTGTAGACTATTCTCTCTACCTCAATCTTAGGTTTGTCTGCCGCGAAAGCGAACGTGTTAATCGCTAACATCAATATGCTTATGCAAAACAGACTGAAGCCATGCCGGCCAAATAAGAATGAGCAATTAACTTACAATTCACAACAACGTTGATCGCTTCCATCGCCGGCGTCTCTGAACCATCTTCAGCGAGGCATTGATACAGACCGCTATGAGACTCATTCACTTTCTTTATCGTGATGTAATTTCCGTCCAAGATCACGTCGGGATCGTAACCGTCCACCTTCTTGTTCTAAAATTAAAAAAACCCGGAATCAACTTTGCTTTCCATGTTAAAACCTTGCCTATAATATCTTTAGCGTCTGTCATAATTATTACGAATATTGCAATACTTTTACAGTGTGATAGGAAAACAGCGTGATAGGAGTGATGACGTTAGGATTATCAATGATATTTTTAATGACGTTTCACCTCAATGAACCACTTGATCTCGGGCGGCGGCTGTATGTCGGTCTCGCAACCGAGCGTGATATTATGGCCTTGGTTCACTTCGACCTTCTTCGAGGGCCTCACGCGTATAATCCCTTTGTGCGAGTACTGCGGCGGCGTAGATTCTTGACGTGGATTTTCATCAACCAACAGACGGTGAGTCAAATCTATGGAGTGAGGATTTTGCAGAATACTGCATTTGTAATTGTTGGAGCTATCCTCGACCGTCGCATTGTAGATCACTAGGCTGTTATTCGGCAATCGTACGATTCTCTTGTCGTCCTCAGTGTATTTCTGCGATTCGAAGTACAGATATTTATCGTCCTTCAACCACACGACCACATAATTGTCTGAAATAATCCGTGATAAACTTATTAAAGAAGACGGGAGATAATAAATTACATACAGAGAATTAATTAAAGTTTTTTATTTTATTTCATTTTTTCTTATAAATATTTCCCTTGTTATAAAAAAGTTTAACGAAATACTAAACAATTTTTAATGTTAAAAAACAATTTTGGAAAAATAGAGAGACGCTTTTAAAACGTATCGTACGTCATGTTCGTTAGTAAATAATAAAAGACTCCTGTCCAGTAAGAAATGATAATAGAATCAATATCGAATCGACGTCGAATTTGATAATTTTGACGTCGATTTAATATCGATTCCATTGTCATTTCTGACTGGATGTTGTTTTACAAACCTGTATGGATCACTTGACAAGGCAGTATAACGGTGTCCCCAGCTTTTACACGAACACTTATTGGATGTGATAAGATTTGCGGAGGCATCTCGGCGGTGCCGATATTGTCAGCCTCTTCGTCTTCATCTTCCTCATTATCATCATCGAAAGGAGTATCATCCTCGTAATTCAGGTCCTCCGTACTCTTGGTCGGTTTACATAAGCCTATAATTAATGAGTACTATATTACCTAAGTGGCCTTCACAAGCACAGAAAATCGTAATTTCTAATTCAATAAACTTTCATTAAGTTATTTAAGTATGCTTCGTAATTTTAACTCATTATGTATACGTTTTTATTAGTACCCATTAAGTGTATACGAGGGTCGTTAAGGAGATTGTAAGGGCATAAAACACATATATTAATATTTTCGCTTTAAACAAACTACATACATGTGAAAGTTGTGTTCATAACATTTTATTGAGCAACACATTTTTATAGGTTATTTATTTTATTTGTTATTAGTTTTATCGTTATAAACAAAAATTGTTAAAATAAAAAAAAATAAGAAAAATCTAAATATTTCTATATAAATATATTAAGTACTAAACATGACTTATGCAAAGTTTCATTGAGATTCACTATTAGTTTATAACAAATAACAAATTTTATTTATTTACTGAACAATTAATGTCTGCATCTCAAGATAACTTTACAAAAATATTGTTGAATTCCTAGAGTATTTATATTAAAAAATTGAGATTTTTATCATTATTTTATAATACATTTTCATATATTTATATTAGAGTACAAATTTAAAAAATATTACTACTTATTTAAATAACTTTTGATCCACAGATGGTCAATTGTTTCTATTTTTTTTTGTATTATTATTAAATGAAATTTAGAATAGTCTGTAATTTTTTCAAGTAGTTCTTAACATATTGCATTTGCCTTACAACCTCCTTAATATCCAGCGTGTTTTTTTAATGGATTATATAGTTCAAAAAATATTTAAAAATTCATGTAGTTTTTTCAACTATTATAGATGGAAGATTTATACATAATTTTACAAATCTATTTGTTTAAATATTTTATTTTTGCAAATATATAAATCAAAATGCGAGTGTGATAGTAATATGTTAAACAATTTGTAACTTTTGAACAAATCAATAAAATCTAATCATTAAAATCTAATCAATAAATCTAATCATTAAAAATGGAAAATAAAGTTTAAGGTACTATTTTAATAAAAAAATGCCAACAAATTTTTCAAATTTAAATGCTTAAGTGCGGAACATGAAGTCTTACAATTTTGAAACTTATAAAAATAAGCGTTCGTAGAAAAAATTGATTCTTAACCGTAAAAAATTCATTTTTTGTTCAAAATCTATAATCTTATACACTTTCGTAAATAAAAAAATACATATAGAACAACTAATATTGCAAGAGAACGAAGAAATCGTAACACCTTTTCCGCAGATCAATTTGCATTTTTATTTTAAGATAACACAAATAAAAATTTATTTTTGTTATACATATACAGGGTGTCTCAGAAAATGTGACCGAAACACAGTGGGGACATAGATTGGATCAAGGGGAACGAAACAGTTTTATACCATTTTGCAGTTGACGCAATATTTAACGAGATATTAACGTTTAAAGATAGGCCTAAATAAGAATTAAAAAATTTGTTAAAATTGCTAGTCAATTTAACTCGTGATATTACTGCGGTAGTTTAGTAGAGTTAGCGTTTCAAGACCGGAAATTTTTCGGCGCGCGTTTCTGTGGGACTACATACGTAGTATATAAATTCACATAAGAATCATACAAGCATTAAGATCCAGCTAGACCGTGTAAGACTTTGATTTTCTATAGTTTGTGTTATCACATGTACGGTCCTATAATATATTATATTAAGAATTAAAGTATTCGCCTATCTTTAAACGTTAATATCTCGTTAAATATTGCGTCAACTGCAAAATGGTACAAAACTGTTTTGTTCCCCTTGATCCAATCTATGTCCCCACTGTGTTTCGGTCACATTTTCTGAGACACCCTGTATATGTGTTTTATTTATATAAATAATCCAGAAAGAAAAAAAAATCATTTTACTTATTTGTTATAATACAAATATGCGTTGCGTGTAAACGGGAGTTATTTGCGTCCGCGTTCGATTTTGAACATCCGCTGTTCAGTGAGAAAATGACGCCTTTCGCGAGAAAATTGCCGAGTTTTCACAGGCGCTTTCCCCACAAACTTTTTAAAAGCAGAACGCGTCCATACTCACTTGTTTTAAAAATCGCCTGGATACACACACACAAATGACCCCCCGTTTACACGGTGAGGGTTAAAATATAACAAGAAGAAATTTTATCGATAAAATTTAATCCTGAAAAATTATCGGTTTGTTGATGTAATAGATCCAACAAAGAATTTTCCATAAAATTATGTCAATAATAATGGAAAAATTTTGAAGAATCTCTCTCTCTCTCTCCCTTTCTCGTGTATTATAGCTAGACTGCGGAAGTTTATGCAAAATACTTAACTGAATGTTTTGCATAAAATGCATATTTTGCAATTTTGTAAATTTACAGATGGCAATCTCAATCTTTTTAATTCACCTTTTAATAACTCTTTAACGAACAACGATTGACTGCTAAAACTGTCCGATAGTTAATATTCAGTTAAGTATTTTGCATAAAGTTCCGCAGTCTAATTATAGCTATACACTGAAAAAAATTCACGAAATTTGAATAACTATTTGTTTAGATAGTGCCATTTACTTACAGTAAATAAACAGTAATTTATTATCTGTAAGAACAAATGGTACTATCTAAACAAAAATATTTATTCAAATTTCGTAAATTTTTTTTTCAGTGTACAAGAGGGTATTAGGAGTATTAAAGTGAAATTAATCTTATTTCTCCGAAGTGTCAATTCGATCGCTAAAACCGTTAATTCGCTGGACCGCGAATGCCGGTGGTTGCCCTATAACTCGTTCGCTGACAATCGGATCGTCCATCGAAACCGCAAACCATATATCGTGTCCGAAATGGACACGAGGAATGGTGCGCCGGTTGAAATTAGATTTCTGATACACGATTGAACAAGCTTGATTTCAGGAAGGATGAAGCATAAACGAGCAAACACGATTTTCCAACAATATTTCCCTCAGTATCATCCCTTGTTCAGCAATGATATTGCCGACTTCTCGTCAGTGATGCGAAGAAGAAATCGCGATTAAACCAGCCGAAGAAAGCTCTTTGCGTGTCCACTATCAGTTTACCTCGTTTTTTCACAGGTCATGATGTTTCTATATCAAGGCATATACGTTGTCCAATTTTAACCAATGTAAACCACGCCCTATGTATGAGGAAAAAATGGGTCGAACCTGACTCACAATCAGGTGAGCCGATTGTAAGTCGCATAAATGGTAAGAAGTATCCGGCAATTACGCGAATTAAGATCGTTAGATCGTCGCCCGTCGTGATTGGAATCGATTAGTAAGTGCTGTAGTAAAGTAAAATATGGTAAATTGTGTATGAATTATATTAGAATATTATTAAATTTTGTTAAATTTTTTATCTCACCTTCTATTCATATTTCTCTCTCTATTAAATTTATAAAATAAATCTTTAAATTATATTGTTAAAGATAAACTGACAAAAAGTACATCAAGTTGCATTCGCATTCTTTAAAGCTTCAATAGAATAAAAACAATATTGCAAAAAGTGAAATAAATATAATATGTGTACAATAAAAGGTGTATAATTCCAATTATACACATCAATTAATAGGCACAACAGTGGAAAGTGTATTTAATAATAAATGTACCCGACATTCAAGCATTTTTGTGAAAAATCTTGAACTGTTTATATTGTACATACTTATTTCTCTTTGTATTTTGATATTGAAAAATAGTTGTATATTTTACCTCAGAAAAATGAATATGAAAGATGTGCAGCGATTACGCGGGAAGAAGTCCATGAATCTAGATTAATGGCTGACTACTACATGCCAGCACCCCTGTGCTCCAGTTAGATTGCAGTTCCTATCCCCATAAATCCACCCCGGATTCCCTTAGCAAAGACTATGTCTATACACGTGAATAGGCGCCACGATGTCCCATTGCTCAATCTATGCGTAGCTCCATAGGCATCCACGCACTCTTTCAGTCGGTCTAATGTTGTGGAACATCGCGTTCATAGTTTATATTCACTTTGTGATGCGCATCAACGAATATGTATGTCACTCGTGATGTGTCTACCTACTTTATTTTCAAAAAAATCTCGCAATGGTCATTCGTAAAATCATTCTCTATTCATTCAATTCATTGCGCTGTATATTTATCTATCTGCATGTATATCATACATTCCTTTCATTTTAATAAAATATAGAAAATCGCATATTTTATCTAATATAAATATACGAAAAATATATTAATCATAACATAAATTGAAACAAATATAAATTTTTGTTACTGAAAATCAGGCTTTTATTTTACTAAAATTGTTATACGTTTACTTTAGCAGTTAATTGTGATTTTGAAATGTTTGTTAAACTCATTGAGATTCTCAATAAACTGTAACTTTGTTCGTAATATAATACATGTCATAAACTTTAGTTTGTTTGTCTTCAAATTGACCGCTATGTTACTTGTTTAGCAATCATTACTTAACTGGCTGTCGAAATGACAAGATACATATTGTTTTCGCAGATATTATTTTAAAATTTGATAATTTTTAACATACTAACGAGTTACAAAATGTTGCATAAGAGAGATTTATTGTTCAGTGTAGAAGCGTCGACTGTGTCAGATGAGGTGATTATTAATTTTCAAATTACTCTGGTAGAAATGTATGCAGTTTTCCTAGACACCTATCCAGTTACTATCTAATATTACTGTATTCTCATTAATTGTGCCAATACTGACAATGAGTAGGAAATGGACAAGAACTTGATAGAGTTTTATTCTGTCCATTTCATAAGCAGTTAGCTTGCTTATTAATCAATTTAATATCCATTATTTGTTGTGTTTCTATTCAGTAAATGGATTCAGATTTTATGCAACTTTTGTATGCAGTAACTGCAAACAAAGTATTACATCGTGATTAGGATCCTAAGTAGGTTTCCTTTTCAGTTACTAGATAGAAGTTGATGTAACTGTTTAGTAACTGTTCAAAAAATGCATGAAATTTTTATCAGGGTATACATACGATAAT